CTCTGTAGCTTTAACAGTCTGAAGCCGTACATTACAGAGACTAGATGACTTTAGGCTCTTCTCATGCAGTCTCCTCTATTCAGGCTCGGTTATATAATAGACATATCCAAAATGAGGCTTATTTCTATGTTTGCTACTTAAAACTCCAGAGTCCATGAATAGAACACAAAGGGACCATAAGAAGAAATCCATTTTAACCCTGTGTGAGACAATGAGACCAGTGAGTCCACATTGCCTTGTCTCTGTCTGGAGGGACACTCAGCAAAATACCGGACCCAGGGGATAGGTGTGGAAGGCACACTGTGCCTCAGCAATATAGCTAATCTAAGTACATATATGCATAGATATTCACATGCATATCATGTATGTATATTCATTCTTCTTTCTTTTGCCTTTTAAAAATCTTTGGCTCCTTAAATTGTCTTGTCTGGAAACTTCTAGATACCTTGTCAATCATTTTTCATCTTAAATGAGCTTTTTTCAGAGTATAATCCCTGTAGCATCCCCCGAGCATTGGAGAACTGTGGTGGTAAGCGAAAACCAATGGTTCCGTTTTGATTTTTTCTGCTCACTTGCTGAGAATCCTTTGCCTAGCTTCCCTTCTCTATCACCAGCCATACAAAATTTTATTCCTGGAGACATAAGACATCCATCATGCCGGTTTGAAGTAAATTCCCAGCCAAGCCCTGTCAATACTGAGGCCTAAATATTAATTTGTGGTTGACTTCCAGCCTCTTCTTATTTCATGGTTTCTTTTCCTCCTGGGAGTTTGAAAAGCCCAGAGATAGATTTTTGAAATATTCTTTGTTGTTTCTGTGTTCTTAACTGTATTTTGCTTTTCAGCCTCAAAATTCTGAGACTAAAATGTTTCCTGATAAGAAAATAAGAAGAGGTCTGAGTAACTGATATTCACCATCTCCCAGACCTTCATGTCCTGGATCACTTAGGATGTAGGTTCCATGACAGCTTAAACAAATAATTTACTTGGTTTAGCATGCTGGGATTGAACAAAGGGTCTTATGCCTGCTAGACTGGCGCCGTGCCGCTAATGGCCAGTCTATTCTATTCCGAATTGTAATTATTTCTTTGACATCTATCACTTAGATGGTGAGAATAGAATCCAAGTTTTTCTTGTTTCCAGTGGCTGCAATATCACAAAAAGAAATTCCTCAATGCATGCCCAGAAGTTGATGGTGGCAAAAATCAGCTGCTTAAGTTAGAATTAAGCTTTGCTGGTTAACGAACTCCATGCCTAGGAAAGCAAACTCCTGTTTCTGACCCTTAACCTCAACTAGAGGTTTCCTCACAGGTGACCTGAAGCAGGGGTGAGGCTCCTACCGACTGAAACGTGTGGAAAGATTTCACATTTCCTTCTACACAGAAGCTGTTATCATCAGGATCCTTAGCCCAGGGAGTGTGAGTTCTTCGGGCACCTCTGGAGAAGGGTGTGCTTGATTTGGGCCCATTCCTGACTTTGATAACACGTCCAATTGACCTGATGATTGATATACAGTTGTTTGAAATGTTAAGCTGTAGTTCATAAATGGGTATTTTCCCAAAATTTCAAAGCTGCGAGGCCTTGTTGAACACAGGCTCATCGAAAGCCTGGTTTAAAAGAAAGATCTATTCATTAGGACTGATTTCAGCCTAATGGTGGGACTACATGTTCCTTACCCTCTCAGAAACCAGAGGGAACAGTCAGAACGAGCAGCCGTGAGTGATGCTCAGGAATGTCTTAGTAGCCCAGAGTCCTGGATTCACTGTTTAAACTGTGACTAAGCTCAGATTTTCTCTTTTGTCTGTACAGGACTTTTTCAGTGACAGCATGCCACCAACCAAGTGGTTCATATGTCTAATGAACAAATCAAGTTAAAAGGTCAGCAGAAAACCCTGTGAACTTTATATAGTGTTACCTAGAATGATGTCAGCAGGCATCAAGTGCTTTTCTGTGCATGCTTTTCTGTAGCAGTGCCAATGAGCTTCTGAGTGGTTAGTTGTTTGACAGGAGAAAATATAGTATAATGTCTAAAAGAATGGTTTTTGATTACTTAGACCTGGACTCGAATTTGTTCTCTGGTTTTACTAAGTATCTGACATCTAGCCTCAATGTTTTCTCCTATAAAATGGGTATACAGTCAGTCATCAGTCAAACCAAGACTTCTTTAAAAATTAAAAATAGAGTATCATTTAGCACAGTGGGTACTTAACTAAAGGAGATTGTACAGCCTATAACAGCTAGGGATATTATGTAATAATCACAATATTGATCTTACCATGATAATGATAATGCTTAGAAATGGAAATTAATTGCTTCAGAGTTATAAATATCTACTCATATCTCCCCCCGACATAAGCACAGTGACTATTACTGGTCCAGATTTGGAGCTAAGACTCAGAGAATTAAAATAAAAAGATTGCAGCTGGAGTGAACCAGAGTACATCCCCGTTCTCTGCTGCCTTCTTGCACAGTGATGCTGGCTATGGACTTAGTGTTGTAGCGACATGGATGGCAAGTTTTAGATAGCTCCTTAAGACAAGGCATCTGTCACCATGCTGTGGCCTTGCAACCCCACACACCTAGATTCATGCACAGGGAATGGGCTTGTGTCCACTAGGTGGCATTGCTGTTTTAACAAAATCTGAGCGGAGCCAGTATTTAGGTTTAAGAGTCTGTAACATTTGAGAGTACTCACAGGACACTTCTAATTTCACCCTTAAAGTCTGATGAGAATTTAGAGCACATGTGGAGATCCGTACAGACTAGTGATGTCTTGAAATAATTATGAAAAGTTCTCTTTGGGTGTCAGAGTCTCTACAGGACGCCCTGATGAGATGTGATGTGCAGCTATCTGGTTCTCTTTTATCAGCTCACAGGAGAATAGGCTGAGGGCCAGAAAGGGAACGTGCTTGCCCACAGGAGCCCAGAGCCAATGGTTTTGTCTGTAGCATTCTTACCATAATTTCTATTGATGATAAGTCATAAATAAACCGTGAAAGCGTCCCTTTTGCATATGAGGCCAAAGACTGCTAAGGATTTTCCAGTTTTAATTTCATTGGGATTTAAATGTATGTTCCATCCCAGTCCTACACTCAAGAATTTGCATATTAAGTGGTATTTTATTTTGTTCTGACACACCCCTTTGGAAAGAGTGGGGGCCTCTGCAGACAAAGGCCATCCCGTTGGGTTGTGGATGCAGTAAGCAGCAGGTAAATAGGTGAGCACAAGTCCCTGGAATCAGATTTCCTGAAGCGGACGCTGGGCTCTTCCATGGAGTTACCATGGGCCCCTTCTGAAGCAGTGACTTCCCCCTAGGTTTCTATAAGTCCCTATTTCTGCAGTAAAATAGCATTTTTTTTTGTTTTTGCTTTTTAGATTTTGATGAAATAGAAATATTTACAAAGTATCTCTTATACAATCAGGACATGGGTAAAGAGAGCAATATAGTGGACCTATCAGAGTCCAGCTATTGGTGCCTCTTAGTTGGGATATCAACAACTTAATTTTCTGCCACATGATGAGCCACTGAAAAAGACAAATAATATCTCAGGTTTATGATTGTGTGGCATTGTTTCTTCCTCAAACACACGTCATATGCAACCTAGAACACAGTCATAGATTTCATTGTATGTTCACAGCAAATCCAAATGAAAATAGTTGTGGGCTCCAGACACTTATTTGATGGCAACTAAGCATAGGGCTTACAAAGGTAACTATAGCGGAGACTTGGTGGGCCCTTGTCTAGTGGTATCCTTCTTATGATATTCCTGTGACCTAAAACTGTGCTTTGTCCTGTGCAATGATTGGAAACCTGGGATCACAGAGTTCGCTGTACTCTACATTATAATCCAAAGAGCCAGGATTTGAACTCAGTTACATGCTTCTTAGCCTGGAGGAGGCAGTCACTTCTGCTTTTGTTCTGACTTTTCTATGGTGAGGTGCACATGCAGCTCTGCTATTTGGGAGAGAATTGTATTAAGAGAATTTGCTACTGTTCTCCTGGCAGTTCCTTAATGAGATTAACCCATTCAACATTCCTTAGACTGTGGAGTTTTTAACAGGGTGAACAAAATTACGGTAGACCTGAAGGGGGCTTGCTGAGATGGGGACACTTCTGAGATCATGTCCTAAGTGGTCAAAAGTCATCATAGCTGAAAGCTGCTCAGGAGTAACTTGTTACTCTGTATTGCATAGCCTTCAAGACCATAGTCATTATTACTATGATTCAGAATCCCATGTAGAATTCATGTGTGTGCATGCACATGTGTGTATGTTCACATTTGTATGTACATGCATGTGGGGCAACCTTGGCTGTTGCTTCTTAGGAGTTGTCCACTTTGTTATTTAGAGACAGGCTTTCTTTCTGGCCTAGAGCTCAAGTAATCTAGGCTAGCTGGCCAACAAGCCCAGGAGTCTGCCTTGCCTACCTCCTCAGTGCTGAGATTTTAAGTGGGGTACCACTTTTTAAAAACATGGAATCTGGGATGTAAACTCGAATTCTTGTGTGTGAGCACTCTCCCTAGAATACCATGTCAAATTCCTGAATTAGCTGTCTTCGGGACTGCCTGCTGCACCATATAAAGTGGGAAGCCAGGGTTCTTTGTGCTTAGGGTGCACCTCCAGCAGTCTTTGAGCACCATTCATTTTATTACTGCATACTCTGTCCACTTCTCTTGAATAACATTGCTTTGGAAAGCTAGGAAATATCCTTGCTCCCACCAACAATATTTTTCCTTTTATAAGAATCCAAATTCACCCCAGAGCATCCGTTCTTTCCTTATAGATTGCATCTTTCTTATTTCTTCCTCCTTTCGTCACTCAACTTTTATGGGGCAAGAGGATTGGAACAGTTGTTAGAGAATAACCCAATTTCATTTTCTCAGTAGAAACCAGGTATGCATCAGTTAATTTAGGGCTGTGAAGATGCCTTTCTTAAGCAGGACTAAGGCAGCTTTAAGGGGGAACCTTCCAGAAATAAAACTCAGAGAAGACTCAGACTTACCGATCTCAGTCATTGTTATCCCGGGAGCTAACTGCCCATTGTTGAAAGAGCTATAGGTAAACAAGTTGGGTACGGATGTGAGGTCATAGATAGGTTCTTGCTTTATCTGTTTGATTCCAGTCATGTCTAGTCCTGATTGATCGGGAGACGGCTGACCAGAATCTATGCTGTAATATCCTTCGGATTTCGGCAAGTCAATGACGTGCCCGTTGGCGTAGGTGCCGCCGGTCTCGGTGTTCAGGTTGCCGAGACCGTTACTGATGCTGCTGCTGTACACCCTGGCAAGGGCCTCTGCCTCCCCGCTCTGCTGTTGCCGCTGCTCCTGCAGCCGTTGCTGGTGCTTCTGCACCTCAGCATACAGGCTGTCACGCTGCTTCTTGGACATTCTCCCGAACTTTACAGCTGGGATGGAGAGAAGAGAAAAAGATAACAATGTGGTTATCATTATCTTAGCCATTTAGCACTAAGGGACCTGGGTGTTTGTTTCTTCAGTATCATATAGGCAAATCCTTATGGCTGCAAACCGGGGCTTCACTCTTACATTTTGCATTTAGGGAAACATTGTATTCGGAGGGTGTGCTGGTTTGTACCGTTGTTTTCAGCGTGTCCAGCTTTCTGCCACTGTAACTGATAACTGAGACGATCAACTTAAAAGTAGAGAAGGTTGCTTGGTGGCTCACAGTTTTGATGGCTTTTGTGCCAGTGGCACAGCGGGATACTATGCTAGAGAAAGTGTGGTAGAACAACTCAACCCAAGCAAGCAAAAGAGAGGAAAAGGAAGGGGCTGAGGTCCCAGTGTTTCCTTCAGAGGGACACTCCCTGATGACCTAAGGCCTCTCTCTAGGCCCCACCCTCTAAAGGTTCTACAGTCTCTTAGCAATGCCAACTTGGGTTCCATATTCCTTAATGGGGCCCTTAGGGGAACATTCAATATCCATGACATTAAAGATGTATTCACCCCTCTCTCTTTCCTTTACTCTCTCTCTCCACTTGTGGATAGCATATACAAAACCAAAACAATGACTTTTATGAGACTAGCAAAGGTTTCCTGCTATTAAAATGACCCCTGTAAATCAATATTGACTTTCTTCCCCATCATTAGGACTACCAGGCCCTTGGAAAGAAACCCATTGTTTCAGTTTGGGACGTCTTTTCTTGGTAAGAACAAGGTTGCAGGCGGTGTTAAAACCTCATCAGTTGTTGCCATTTTGGATTTTGGAGCAAATGATAAGAAGCTTTGAACGGCGGCATTTGTATGCACTCAGGGCAAGTGATCCAGCAAGAGTGACTTTCCTCGTTATCCCAGCTCCAAGGTTTGTTCTGCCCATTTCGTGCAAGTAAATCCTCAGGCAGTTTAATGGGAACCGAGGGAGAGGCTCCGCAACTGTCTGGAAGTAATATAAAAAGGCTTTTACCCCCATGCACAGCTTTCTGATTTGTGGAACACAACCTCCCTAACTGATATGGATAGTGACCTCTTCCTCACAAGCCCTCAACCTTTCTTTTGGCATGCTAAGCTGCTTGGTTTAAATCATTTTGCATTTTGCTCATCTGAGTTTCTGATTTTTTTCCTTTGGTGGTGGTGCCAATTTCCTCAAGTTTTGTTGATGTCAGGACCTCAGAGGGTGTAGAAAGGAGGGAGACAAGTGTAGAAACTGATCAGGATTCACTCATTAGCGTTGGAGTTCTTTCTAAAAACCTCGACACACAAGAAGTGCTTGCAGGCTCTCAGCTCAGAGGGTCCACAGGGGAGGCCTGCATTGCGAGGATGCTTCCATTCACTCCCTATAACATCTATCCAAATTCCTCTTCCTCTTGCATTGGGAATGATGCTATCAAATATTATCTGAGTATGGATTGTTCAAAATGGAGACCACACTTCCCAGCCCTAATTACTGACAGTGTGACTGTGTGATTAAGTCCTGGATAATAGGGTGTGCAGGGTGGCAGAGTGTTTAGATATTCTTAGGTAGAGTGGCATGCTCTCTCTTTGCCTGCCAGATTGAAGCTGTGACAGGCTGAACTTGAACTCCCCCAGTCTCATCCTCTTTCTTCTTACTCCCTAATCTTTCTAAAATAAAATTCCCGAACTCTGGCTTTTCAATGCTGCCTAAATAGGAAGATGAAGCGGCAGTTATCCTGTAGTTTTTCTCAGTGAAGAGAAACAATCTAATTAACTACCAGCAAATGCCTTTGCCCTCTCGGTTGTCGTTTTTATTGGGTCTGGAATTGGTTTGGACCCTTGTGTTGCATTTAACTCGCTGTGTAGACACTGTTGTCCTTAGACTCTGCTTCTTCTCAGATATTTTTTTTTTCTTTTTGAGTGTAGTGGCAGTTCAGCTAGATCACGGACAGCAGAAGTCTACCGAAGGGTTAGGGAAACTTTTCCTTGTGCTTTTATATTATGTCATTACAAATAATTTGCATATTGCTCTCTAGAGGAAGATGCCATTCTATAAGGAAAATTAAATGATATTGAACATTGACTCAGGAGGACTGCGTTCCAAGAAAGTGATATTCACCTTCTCTGTTGCTGACTTTTGTGCCTTTGTCTTTGCATTTGCGTCAGCTCAGATGGCTCTAGTCTCTATACAAGAACGGGCTCTATCGCATAAGATTAAAATAATGCAGTAATTTTATAGAATAGTGTGCATTCACAGGTTTAAATCTTAGGAATTAAAAAAAATCAAGAGTGAGCCAATTTTCTTCATGGTATCAGAACTGCCTTTAAAATACTTGCCATTTAACCCTCAAGTCTATGAACTTTGAGGTAGAGTGATTATATAAATGACCCTGATTCACTTTCCATGCACCCTTTCACGTTCTCCATGACTATTCCCAATTCCCCTTTATTCTGTGCTGGCGTGATGCCCAACCCTGAACTCCCAGCCACATGAACTGCTAGGCCAATGGGTTATTGACAAATGTGTCATAAGCAGAGACTCGAAAAGGGCCTGTTTGACTGGGCACCTCACCACGCAAGGGCATACCTGAACTAGATTGCTGAACAATAGGATATGCGAAGCTGATTCAGGCCTCTTCTATCACCCAAGCAAGGCCATCTACCATCAGCAGGGTCACAGACTGACCTGCCGCCAAAGCACGCCTCCATGTGCTGCTGACCATAGTCCTTGTAATTAGAGCTAATGATGTTGGAAAAGTCTGTTGCCAAGGGCTCCGCTGTAATCGTCTGAAGACTCAACAGAGAAATGTACCTCTGTTGCACAAGGCTGGCTTGTCAGGTGACAGAGCAATTGGAATATCTAGAAAGAGGCAACTGAAAGAGGCCACAGCTTGGAATTCTCTGGCTTTGTCTTAAATCAAAGACTTTCTCAGACAATGACCACAGAACGACTCCCGCACAAGGTTTTCATTTATTTCAGAGAAGTGTTTTAGTTTTATCTCCTCTCCTGCAATAAAGCTGGTGGTCTACTCCAGGGGAAAATGTACAGTACACCACGAAAATACACCAACTGAACTTCTCTGACATAGAAACATTTCCTGGCTATTGTCTGCAGACTCCTTGATGTATTCAAAGCTCCACTTTAACAAAGGCCTTCTACTGTTATAGTTTCAAGTATTTGCATGCTTTTTATCACTCCTCATGGGTGAGCACAGCACATATTTTAGCCATTTGTCTCTTGCAAACCTGATTTCTTCTGCTAATGACATTCGTTTTAGTATAGAGCCCGTTTCTTGCTAAACTACCATGGCTTAAGAGAACCAGCATGAGTCTGTACACCTTGCAACTGATTCACAAATAACTCAGGATGACAACATCAATACCCAGTACATACAAAGGACACTTCGGTGTCGGAGGGTCAGAAACCACGTCACTTTTGTTTACGGTGTGGGAGTCAAAGTACAGCAGAAGATTTCAGGGTGACTAGAAATGAAAAGTCATTGCTCCATCAAAGATTTCTAGTTCCTGCTGCAGGAGGATTGAGCAGGTGTTTTTGAGACTCCAGCTATGTGACCATCACCTATGACTCTGGGGACAATTGGAAACGGTAGTGTCTTACTGTCTCTACGTTTCCATGTCTCTACCTGCTTTGCGCTAGTTAAGTTGGTCCTGGTTTAACTCTTTTAGCGCTGGAGATGAGCCAGCACCTTTAGGGATCCAAACTTTGTATGAGAAGTCTGACTCATGCGACTCGTTTTAAATTCTCTCTCATGTCAGTCCTTAGACAAACTCTAGATGTAGAACGCAGCTTCTTCCGTGGTAGTATGTCAGTGACTATTGAGCACTTTCAATGAAGAAGTGTGGCTGCAGTCCCGAATGTTGGCTTTTAGTTGAAAGTTAAATCATTTAGTGCTATGTGTCACCTGACCCAGTTCTGGATAGAGAACATTTTCCTGCGAAGCTTGTCTGTGCACAGGGCATCACCAGTGTTTTCATCTATGAGAACATACTTTATATACTTAAAAATTATAAATTAAATGAATTTTTTGCCTTCTAAATTATTGCATTGTAAATTTTAGTCTGTTTACTTTTGGGTGTGTGTAGTCTAATATCTTCATATTGATATTAAGCATTTCTCTACAAATACTTATGCTGAAGATTGATTTTTACAGTCCAGTTAACAGAAAGACAGAGCCAGGCATGGGGCATATATTTATAATCCTAGCACGAGGCAGGAAGACCATCCTTGTCTACACAGTGAGTCCAAAGCCAGCCAGGACAATAGACTGGGGCTCTATTTCAAAAAGCAACCAACCAACCAAAATACCAAACAAACAAATAGAATATGCACCAGGAAGAGCAAGATTCAAGATACCTGCTCAAGAGATAGAAAGCCAATGATGTGAATGGTAAGGCATCTTTACCAGTAGCCATGATGTTCCAGTGACCAGATAAGGTGAGGCGAGAGCCAGCCGTAAGTGGCAGACAGCAAATGCGTTTACCAAAGTGAAGATACTACTGTATCATTGATGGAGATGTGAGCACATCTTACCCTGGCTCCTGAACTGCTTGATAAAGCACTGTGTCAGGGTTTTCTATGTCAGCAGATGGGAAGGATAGTTAAACAGCAAAGGCTGATGCTGCATCACTCACTCTCAAGTTCTAATTGGATGAAATGAAACACCATAGTTGCAGAACTTTAGGGTTATTCAGTGCCATATGCTGCCATAACTTTCTGGGACAGGTAAGACCCCATCAGGATACAAGGCCATTTATAACACACTATAGGGCTGCAAGAAAGCTGGGGCCAATGTTCATAGTATAAGGATGTGCATGAATGACCAAAAATGAAAAACAGGGCGGCAAAATTATTTACCATACTTGGATTTTTCACCTTGTATCACAAATCTAAGAAATTGGTTGTGTGTGGAGGAGGAACACACGCTCTATCACCTGAGTGGAAACGCAGGACCCCGAATGCATCTGCACTCTTCATCATGGCTCAGAATAGTCCAGGTCTCTCACTGGTTATCTGTGAACAGCCAGTGAACTGCCTCCCTTCCCATGAAGTCATGTTCTGCTCCTAGTATCTCCATACACTTGTGTACGTCAGATTGTTCTGGCAGACGAATGGTTTCCTTCACCTATAGCTTTCTGATTTAGTCCTGAAAGTCTCACATCCCAGGAAAGCTTTATTTCCCAGGAAATATGGCCAGGCGGTCATTTACTATCTATCCTCAGTGAGACTTCGCTTAACCTAGATAGCGCAGGCTGCTCCGCAAATCCCCACCACCGTCCTTTCTCTGCTTCTTTCCCAGGCAATTCTGTATTTGACTATCCCCACTTTACTTCTTAATTCACAACCAGCACTCTGCTTTGCTTTTCTTCATATTCCCAATTCCCCGAGTTAAAACTCTTTCAGTGGCTTGAATAGCCGCTAGCCAAACATCCATCTGAAACGTCTAAGAAACAGGAAGGCAGAGGCTTACCATCTCTCGACATTCCTAGGGCAAGACACTTCTGCAGTCGGCAGTGTTGGCAGCGGTTCCTGTTGGTTCTGTCAATTAAACAGTTTCTCTGCCTTGGGCAGGAGTAAGAGGCATTGTTCTGCTGGCTCCTCCTGAAGAATCCCTAGAGAGGAAAAGAGAAAGCAAGGGCAGGAGACTCAGAAAGGGCAACATTAGCATATACACTGATAGACTCTGCACCAAGTACAGTTGGGCTTAATCCTTCAAAAGTTTTCGATTGCTTCTTGGTGCACTTATAGATGGTTCTGAGCAGAATATGTGTGCTTATTTATGGACATGTGGCAGTATCTTTCTTCAGTTCTTCATTCATTCATTCATTCATTCAATGTTTACTGAAAGAATTTCTTTGAAGAGAAAAAGGCTTTGCCCCAAAGGAACAACAGAGAAGGAACATCAAAGAGGCATGTCACTGCTAAACCAGGGAGGACAAAGTCTGAATGAGACATGAGCCTGGGTTTGAACTAAGGCTGTGGGTCTTGGTAGGCGCCACAGCATCAAGGAATGTGGGCTCAGTGTTAGCTCCATTTTCGTCCCACATTCTAAAATGTATTTTTCCAAATCTGAAAAAAAATCAAATTGTCCAGAAAGTATCAATTTTTTCTTGAGGCAGAGTGTCACCATGCAACTTTGGTATCCCTCCCTGGCTGCCCTAGAACTGGCTTTGTGTATCAGGTTGGTTTTGAACTCACAGAGATGTCTCTGCCTTGCCTCTTCCTCCACAGTGCTGGGATTATGCACTATCACATGGGCAGAAAGTTGTTTTTGAAACACATGGTGTATCTTATCATAAATCACATTTTGAGTCAAAGAAACACTAAATACAACTTCTTCCATATACAACAGGTAATAAATGAATGCCTGCCTTTAGGTTATAGGATGTGAGAGTTCTTACTTCAAGTAGGTTCAAATTCTTCTGGTGTAGAAGAACTATAACCGACTGGACACTCCTCTTTACAATCGTTACCTGGGTTTATTGCTATTTTTTTTTAATTCTTTTGGTACCAACCTCCCTTAGTTTACTTACAAAGAAAATATAACGAAGAAAATAAGCATTTTCCCCGGAGACAGGAAAGTTATAGTTCCCTGTTTATTTCCCCAGATAATCAGTTTCCCCAATCACTGCTCTCAAAATGCCTACAGAGAGATGGTGCAAGTGAAAAGTGCCACCAGCAAAATGATGGTCTAAACAGAAGTATTATGAAGGAACACAGGGAAAAGATAGCTCTCAGGTTTACCCTTTGGAAGTAAAAAACTTTCAAGAGGCCCGAACTAGAGCCCCTAAGTTCCTTCAAACACCTGTGTTTCCTCAGGTGAATGGAGCAGGGCTGGATAAATAAAGCCTGCCAGAAGACCAACATGGATTTGAAATTTACAGGTCACTAAAAATCAGGGCAATTAGGAAAAGGGAATGTTTTAATAAAGTGTAAAATATCAGTATCAGCGTGCAAATTCTTAACAGTTAAAAGGAAGACAGGATCGATAATACTGATTTTGGTTTTGCCTTGGGTTTCAGTATGGCTTAGTATGTCATACTTGCGTTCAGTGTGGCGTGGTGAAGGGCATTGCTGATCAAAGGAACCATAGAATGACTGTATGACCAAGGACCCCTTGGAGAGAGATTCCAAATTGGCTTTGTGGCTTGAGCACAGACCCAATCAAGGAGGACTATGTTCACCTCTGCACCTTCATGTGTGCTGCTTGTTCACTACACTAGTGATTGTGCAACAGGACTCCATGAATTCAGTTTGGTTGGATTCTGGAACACACCTAAGTCCCCAGGGGCTGTAACGCCTGTTTTATGTACCAAGAAAGCTGTGAGGAAGCATCATCGAAGTGTCCTGGTGCTGTCTAGCGATGCCTTGGAATGTACATCTTAAGGAAGAATGTAATAGATTTTATCTTTGGATACTGGAGTACCACTTAGTAAAAGAGTTGGCAGAGAAGACATTCTGAAGTCACAGCCACAAGCCCTAATTTACAGTCAATTTGACATTAATTATGAGTCATTTCTTGCTTATCTGTTGCTCATTATTGCAAATGAGATTTTTGGCATGAAAAATAGATTCTGTTCCACGTTTTACTGAATGAATAGGAACTGAAGAAGTTTGTGAGTTGAATTGATGTTTCAAACGGTCTCGCATGTTGACTCCCAAGCATTATTACAAAAACGCAAAGAGTTATAGCTGAATCTGCCAACACTGACAGCTGATTTTGAATGGGATTTCTACTGGGGAAACATGTAGCATATTTATACATGTGGGGGTTTTTCAATGAAATAAATAAAAGTCATGTGATATATAGCCAGTTTGACTAAAACCTCAGAATATGCCGACTAGTGACTGCATAATTTCTTTGATGGCAGATTGAAAAGTTGACAGCAGCCTAATCTCTTGTTCCTGCCGTTGACTTGCTGGGTTATGCTTATCCAATGTTTAAGAGCTTATGGTTCAAAACTGCTTTTTAAAATGAATGTATCTCTGTAGTTTGAATTCCCGACATTTTCCAAATGTGTTATGTAATGAAATAATGAGCAGGCAGCATTCATATACAAACAACTTAAATGGATATGTTGGTTGTCGTCTAGACTAGGGCTCTTGAGCCTGCAGAACAAACCTGTAGAAATGCTTTCGTCGGAGAGAGTTCTCATGACAAACTTACTAACGCTGAAGACAAAAACTGTTTGTCCTCCTACCCAGAGAAATAGCTTACTTATGAAGGGTCAAAGCAACAATCAGTTTCTTATTTGCTTTATTGTTTCTTATTGATGGAATAAAAAATGGCGTGGTAGTGGGTGACACAATTCTTCACTCTGGATTTATAGAGAAATAGAATAAAAACCCATTTCCTAGCTCTGCCTAAGGATAGCACTGATCATCTCCATTCCACTATGCTGAGTTATATTTTCTCATATTATTTTCACCTTTTTTATTTTATTCTCCACTTTTCGAATCCTAAGTGCTTCATTTGTGAGGCTTGTGAAGGCACCATCAATTTCTGAAGAGCAGTGCTATCTTGGCCATTATAATCTGTTTTATCCTGTTTATATTAAAAAGTCATCCTAAGATTGTGCTTGAATTCTAGAGTCTACGACTATGCCACATCTTTGTCAGTTTACTGAACTCGAATAAATGATTCACCTTGCCTGCATATTGCCAATGACATTGCCAACATCTAGCACACCCCCTGCATATGGCACTTGAGTTATGTTCTGGTTATGCCCATCCCTTTAAAACTCATTGTGGAACTGTTTAGAGTGGCCCTTGCTAGTCTCACTCTTTCCCTCTTTCAGATTACTTTAAAAACCCTGCCCTTCATTTTCAAATTTTGATTATCTCAGGTTAGGATTGTGGCAATAGCTATTCCCTTAGTCCTGTGTTTTCCAAACCCCTTACTCATAGGAATGAATTTGTGATTGGGTTGATGGATTCTCTCTAAGGGAACACTGGATAGAATGTAAAAAAGTCTTGTGTTCTTGGCAAGTTTCTTTTTTATACTTGTATCAGTGGCATATATCAAACAAGATTTTGTTTATACTTCAGGAACCCATTGAAAAAATTAAGATTTGGGTGAGGATGAACTTTGACTGATCTAGAGTTCATGTCTAACATTCAATGCTTCCAACATTTCAAAATTTTTATTACTATTTCATACTTGAAGTGTATGAGTATTTTTTCTGCTTGTATGTCTGAGTACCATGTATGTGTGGTGCCCAACAAGGTCAGAAGAGAGTTTCAGATACCCTCGGAATGGAGTTACAGATGGTTGTGACCACTCTGTGGGTTCTGGGAAGTAAACTTGGGTCCTCAGGAAGAGCAATGAGTGTTCTTAGCTTATGAGGCATCTCTTCAGCCAGTGTCAGCAGCTGGCACACACATCCCTCAGTGTGTCTTCTTGAAAACCTTGGCACGCCACCACAACGTGGAAATCCCTACCTTGCAGCCTTCACACGTGATGACGCCGTAGTGGATCCCGGAGGATTTGTCGCCACAAATTTTGCATGGTATCACTTCAATTTGTGCTGAAAGAGCAAGAGAAGACATTCTGAACGTCCATAATCGCCTTCTTTGGTTTTTGTTATTTCTGTGTTCGCTCTTACCTGTTCTAGTCGAGATGTTTGTGTGAGATGCTGACAGTTGCAGGTTGCTGGGTGAGAGTAATGGCCTGGGGTGTCAATTACCATTTGAATGGCCTTCCTAGCCTTCTTCTAAGGCAGTGGTTCGCAACTTTTCTGTTTCTGTGACCCTTTCATACAGTTCCTCATGATGTGGTGACCCCAACCATAAAAATATTTTTGTTGTTACTCCATAATTATAATTTTATCACTGTTATGAATTGTAATGGAAATATCTGGGTTTTCTGATGGTCTTAGAGGATTCGTATGAAAGGGTTGTTCAACTCACATGCTGAAAATTACTCTTAGGAAAAGACATCCATTTATCACTCTTTGTTTTTCAAACTGAATTAAACACACACACACACATACTCTTACACACACACACACACACACACACACACACACACACACACACTCCTACAATGCATGATTAGAGACCAGATGTTTTCTCCTTCTTTTACTGTTTTTTTCCTTTTTAAAACTTGTCTTCCTTAAAATAATATGACAGAAAAATCCTGTGAACTCATACCTTTACATTAATTTTACATTTGAAATAGGAAGTTACTAGGAGTTTTTGCATGACCTTATCTCAGTGTTTTAAATAACTAAACAAAACAAAACTGGAGTGTTGGCCTATGGTGACCTTACATGTTGTGTGGTTAGACGGATTGGCCATCTCTGTGAAAATACCGTTCACGAACCAACCAAACATTAATTGAGCATGCTTTAAGTGTCTGCAAGGATATGGAGACATAGTGACTCAGGAGAAGATATGGTAATGACTTTGATAGTCTCATTAATAAAAAGTTAATAATGAAGAAATCAGAAAATAGTTATATAGGAAGTTAACATGCATTTAATTTCACTGGGGATGAAGAGGTTCACTTTTAAGAATAGAGTATAAGAGATAGCTTATTTTGGGGCACATCTGAGTGATTATGGCCCAGGTCATAGATTTAGGTTATCTCAAATTCTATGTTGAAGTGTGGAAAGAGTTTCATAAAGTTTTATAGTTTTACAGAACAAAGGAAGTAATAAATCAGGGCAAGTTTGAAATTCATGATGGGTGCATCAGAGAGGTGATCATAGCAAGCAAGATGGGGGAAGCTTCTTTATAGGTCTCAAATGCTGTCTGATGACATTCTGAGCTTTTGGGCTGGAGGACACTAATGGTCTGCTAACTTAGTGGATTCTGAAAGAGTTTTATCTATTAGTTGTAGGATGTTAGTTCCGACACAGCGGTGGGAAAAGAATGGCTATCCAGGGGCCTAAGGTAAGGTAATTAGCACCGGACCCTCAACATTCCAAGCTCTCCACAACAGTGCAGTTCTAATTGGGAAGGCAGAGCATTTTACAGATCGTGTGGAATTGGTTAGACTGCAAAGAAAGCAAGGGACATGCAGTGAAAACTGGTCAGAAGTCTGGAATGAGTGTGGTTTGCTATCATACAGAGCGATGGGTTTTAAGGGAAATTTGGGTCATGTGGTTACACAGAAGTGCTACACCAGACTTTGGGGCTGCAGGAGTCAGGCAGGAAGGATTTCCCCTGCTCCTGTTTTGACACAAGGAATGGATAAAATGAAGAGTGAAAAAGAGGAAAACAAGGTTGGATTTAGCTCCATGTCAGACAGCTTGCACAACGTGAGCAAAATCCTAAATCCAACCCCCCAAACCAACCTCTACATGAGATGTGAAGAGAGAACCCTAGAGCTTGTCAGGCTAACCAGAGAAAACCAGAAGACCAAAGGAAGATTATTCCAGACACAGGACTTAGGCAATGGCACAATATGAGGCATTAGATGTAGGACAAGGAGATGTGAACAAGCAAATATGAAAATGGTTCAGAGGCAGAGTGAGATTAGAGCTGAAAGATAAGGAAAATAGAAGCTGATGAAGAATTGGAAGTGAGACAAGGACAGGACTGAGACGATGACCTTGGGGCTGAGGATGTGGCTGGGTGGTAGAGCACTTGTCTAGCGTGCATGAGAGTTAGGTTTGGAGTTGGAACAGAAACGGGAGTCTTTGTGGCGTGTGATGTGGCGTGGAACTGGGACACATGTACTTGTATGTGGTGTCTCACAGGCACCCAAATGTATAAAACCTTGGAGGGATGCTTTTGTCGTCACATGGGTTATTTAGAATGCAGGAATTCCTGTGTCTGATAGTATGCTAAAGAGTTGTTAAGACGACTCACGCTGGAAAGATCTGCTATTTCCTTTTCTAATTTTAAATAATTATGCAAAATATCCTTCAAAATGCTTTGTACATAAAGCTGACACTTGTGTATGCTGCTATCATTTCCTACTTTCAGACACACAAAACAAATAAGGGTAAAACATTACCATCTTTTGTTATTACTTTACATAACAAATATAGTACTTAGCCTCAGGGTAACACATTAAGTTATTTTAAAGTAAGCTATAGAAATTTGAATTCTCTCTCTCTCTCTCTTTGTAAGATCAAGAAACGAAGGAAGGGAACTGGGCATGCCGATATGACTGCAGTGGTTTCACGATTTTGGGATGGTAAAATAGGAGGTTTGGCCTTACTCGTATTTGACTGCCTAGGTTGCTCTCCTTCTATTAATTAGGCCATAGCTAAGAGAAAATCTCTGAACTTTTTGGTCCCTTATAAATATCGTATTCATCAGCAAACTTCATAGAATTGTGAGGATAAAATGGGTATTTCCTGGAGAATGTCATGATTGTATCATCATCATCATCATCACTATGCCAATTAAATGATTTTTTTCACTAATGATTTTGAAAAATAAGCACAGTTTGACATGTTATTGTATCTTTATTAAAGATATTTTAAAAATAATTCAGTGAATCAGACTATGACTTAATTTGTACTATGGATTTCAGTTTGACAATAACATTTCAAACAGTGGGTTATTTATAATTACTCTAAATGACTAAAATAATCCCAGGTAGCCATTGAATAGTTTTTGCCTTATATGATATTAAGTCAGAGGCTCTCTTTGCATAAATTACTCCCCAGGGAGTAGCTTACACGTGGGAGAATCTGCTTCAATACATTCTTAATTATAAAATGATCTAACTCTAAAGGAAATGAAAATAGAGGTAATTTGCTCCCTGAGGTGTAGGAAGATGTTTTTGAAAGACACAAAGGTTATCGTATACATCTTCAGAAATACAAATGAGATAAGAAACATTCAATAGAGCATCTGCATTTATACATATTCATAACCTTGGCTCTACATATAATCCTGGAGAACTAAAAACATTTTGATAACATTTTTAAAGAGAAAGAAGTCACCTATATTGTATATATGTGCTATGTGGGAGAAAGGGTTCTCAGTTTAGAAATCTTATGGCTGCTTTTCTTTTGGTAAGAAAAATTATCTGAGGTTTATTGGAAGTGAAGATAAGTCCGAATCATTTAAAGTAGTTGCGACTTTCCCTTTCCCTCATTAAAGTCCCAGCTCTGAGTTGCAGCTTTACAGTTTATACTGTGTGTTTCATGCAGCATATCTTCACGACAGGCTTTCAGACACCACTGAGGGGATACGAGACCACATTGCTCAGTGCCTGCTGTTTCTAAGTGTCTTGCTAGGGGCGACAACATGGTCTCCCCTGGTACTGCACTGTGCGAACCTTGTTCTGTGTTCTCTATCATTGATTCAGGCTGAGCATCGTGGGGGATGTGGCTGCTTGGCCCTCATCAGCTATGACAAGGAAGATAAGAGAAGGAAACTGAGGAGGGCGTGGTCTTTGGCACTTTTGCATGACTCACAGAGATATTATTACCTGTTTAT